GGACGTAGTACATTCCCAAACGTTTCACCGGCATCGTCAGTGAGTATCGCCATTCTTAGCACCATACAACTCGTCAAAGAGGCAAACGAGTTGTTGTATGGTGCTAAGAATGGCGATACTCACTGACGATGCCGGCGAAACGTTTGGGAATGTACCATGTCCACGGTCCGACTTTGGAAATGATCATGCATACAATGGACTCCGGACTAGCTACGTCCCTCTAAGTCTTCCTACCTACATGAACAAGTTGGGAAAACAAGGTAAAACAACCTCTATACAACGAAAGGAGACTTCGACCAACCAAAAGGCCACATCATCTTGGTCTTCATACCTTCAAACAATTATTAGTTAAACTCAATTCGATGTCGAAAGTAAGTTGTGTTGATCCTATTTATTGTTGGGACTTTGATTTCGTATAAAAGTGTATGAAGCAGAGATTAGAAAGTGAATCTCAAAAGAAGAGTACGCTTGAATCCCGTTGTACTGTAGCCGTTTGGATTTTACACGACGTTGAGACTGGCGCAGCCCATGAGACCTCCCCTATCTTTTCAGGTAAAAACAGGCTGAGCTTTCGCCCATCCTCAAGTCAACACTTGAGAATTTTAGAAGAATGAATCCAGCTTTGATGATGTCCATCATATGCTGAGCGAAATCTCAGCCCATTTTCACCCGAAAAGAGGGAGGAGGCCTCGTGGACTATGTCAATCTCAACGACGTATAAAAGCCAAACGGCTGCAGTACAACGGGATTCAACTGTCCTCTTATTTTGAGATCGACCTTCGAATCTCTCCTTTATACGAAATGAAAGTTCCAACAATAATGTTATCTCAGGAGATTAATCGAAATCCATATTTAGTTTAAGGTGATGAAGGACTGGTAGTAGAATTTTCCCACAATGATATGACTAGAGCTGTCGTTTCCATTCAATTTCTCATAGATTTTCCTTCCTAAAAGGTGTTCACGAAAACCTACTCATTAATGAAAAAAGTAATTTCGTCGAATCCTATATAAAATAAAAGTTTGCTTTATCAACAATCCCAACAAAGAATGTGATATAAAAAGTGCTTGATAATCATTGAAATTCACACCTGCACTCACGGCAATGTGGCGTAGTGGTCAACGTGTCGAGCGTACACGCTGAATTACCATAGCTCGACTCCCGTTTGGGGTGTTGATAAGACCTATGCGAGGTCGAAAGTGCAGTCCACTTGGGATGAGACCACCTTTTGTGAAAGCAGGGCTTTATAAAATTCAATGGAAACGTCAGTGGGAAAAATCAACTACCAGTCCTACATCAGCTTAAACGAAATAGAGTAAACACAACTCATAAATGTGATTTACTGGTAGTTTCGAAAACCTACTCACTATTGAATGAAAATGTTTGATCAACAGATACGAAGGTCGATCCCACCAAAAGACGATGGTGGGATTGGGTTTACTGGAGCATCCTTGTTGGCACAGTTTCCGAGGCAATCTCCCTTAATTTAAGTGAAAACGTACTAGACTTTCTTTGTTTCATTTATCAGCTGATTTTCGAGACTACTGGTAGATCATACATGTGAGATGTATTCACTCGATTACGTTTAAGATGATACTAGTAAGTGTAATTGACTTTTCCCACAATCATATAAGTAGACTTTTGTGGTAAAATTCAACTACCAGTCCCTTTATCACCTTAAACGAAACGGTCATTCACCTTTCTTATATCCTTGTATCACACTTTCACTATCGCAATTTCTTAATTTCCTATTTAAACAAACTTCATATGAGCATTGTCATTGTTCGAGTCCTGCCAGAGGTAGTCTAGACGAGGTTGAAACGGCCGTCTATTCCAGCCCGTATGAGAATACCTTTTGGGTAAAAAAAAGCAATGCCAAATTGAGTAGAAACCTAGGGTCTATTCATATCATGGTCAGAAAACGAAATAGGATGAATACTCCAGATAGATGTGTTAAGCTTTTATTCTTCGTATGACGAACATCATCATAGCAAAGTTTCATCCTTAGAGCCATTCTCAAGCTAACGCCTCGAGAAACAGAATGAGCGTTTATATAAAAAGGGGTACATCCAATCTTGATGACATAAGACAAATGGCATGTTCTATACTATTTGCTTTAAGCATTGTCTTTTATTTTATTCATACAAATGAAAGCAGATGCATCCATATCAATATACACCTGCATATGCCTCTAGGCTGATACATGACTAAAACTGTCTCGCTCACTTTATATTTAATAATTCTGCATATATTTGATGTACATATACAGAATGCATTAAAAATCCGGTGAGTTTCCTTGACTAATTAGCTCAAATCTACTTGTATAAATGATACCCTTTTCTAATAATATGCGTCGGGAAAACGACTAAAGTCTGATGCATTTTCACCGGGATCGAAGGAGATTGTCTCGGAATCAGCATCAACAAAAATGTGTTAGTAAATTAAGTAGACAGCTGGTTAAGAGGAATCCGCTGACTTTCGAATCTCTTTAAAAAACACTCTCATTCGAAATGGATATAAGCTCAAAAATTATGAACTAAGAGAATCCTCAAAACTCATCTTTTCTGTAAATATATATTTTCCGCTACAATCTTCTAAGTTTCTTATTTTAGGTGTGAGTCTTCCTCGACGCTCCGACCAAGTTTCGAACCTTTTAAACCTTTGGCTTAACCTGAGGGCTACTCATGTTATCGTGGGAAATCTCCGTTATCATTCAGTAAATCACTTTATGCTGCCTAGATTAACTAAGTTATAGCATTGTTGCTAAGACTTTCATCTTGTACGCTGATCCTACCGGAAGATGATGACTGATTTTTGCTGTTAAGCAGCCCTGCTTTGTTCAGGTTGACAAATTTCATGAGACATCCTTCCATATTTCGGGTGAAAACGGGCTGAACTTTCGTCCGTCATGTGAAATGTTGGACATTGTCAGACCTAGAACTCATTCTCTCAAAAGCTTAAAGTCTCCTTCTCTCTATTCTGCATGCTATGTACACTCATTTTGCATATTAATTGAAAATAAAAGTCTCCACACCAGCGCTATCTTGAGAGATTTATTAAAATCCACTTAATCTTCGTATATACAAAGTAGATATGTTTTAATTTCTATTCATTCTTCTTCTCGCTACACTAAAAAAAGGGAGACTAATGTCTGCTATGAGTATTATTAGCATATATGCATATATATATATATATATACATATATATGAGGCATATGCGGGTACATGTTGCTTTAATCTGTACATATATGTACAAAACAAAAAAAATCGTCCAACTTAATTAGAACAGAACGTACCAGTTGGCTTAGGTCAGCAATGTTTGATGCTCCTCTTTTTTATCAACCAGCATTCTTTTTGCATAATGTCAGGCGTGCGTTTGTTTAAGTTATTTAGTCGTTTGTTTCTGTGTGTGAGTGTGAAAGGGAATGAATTGAGGCGTATCGATAGTGTGATTAGCAGCAACACATTATTTTAATCGCCGCCTCTTACAGGTGGCTTAACAGCTTCTCTATCTTTAAACCTATCAAGTAAGCATAAGTAGTTTTTACTTGCTTTCATCAATGCTCATTACCTTAGATGCATTGTCCAGCATGCTGCTTTCAATAACCCTACAAATGTTAATCTTTAGCTTAATTTTGGAGTCAAGTTATCAGAGTTTCACATTCTTCGCAATTTGTAAACTGAATGTAAATTAATTGAGTTGAATGAACATTTTAATCGGTGAGCATCAGACTCGCCTGAATGATACAAATTACACTAATTGCCTATCTTTAGAGTTTGCTGTATTTTCGAATTGAAGTTAAGGCATATTTTAGTATTATCTGTTACTCTTAATTATAGATAAGCCTTAATAAATGGGCGGGTTTAGTCTCTGTATCTCTCATTGTTTTGACGGCATAACAAACTAATTGATGACATGGATGGTCAAGAATTGAGTTTAACGGCGTGGCCAGAAAAAGAG